CATCCGGGCCAGGTGTGGGGGTGGTGCCCCTGTTGACAGGTGCTTGGTGGAGGTGGTTTTGTGTTAACCCCTCCTCCGTCCCTTCATATCCTTCACCTGGGAAAACTCAGGCCAAGGGCACTTCTGACCTTTGGGTTGTCACTCCCTAGATCTTCTGTGCTGCAGCAAAGGTGGAAATCTGTCACAACCCCAGTGAGACTCCCAGTACAGGACCAGAAGGTGATTCCTGCTGGGAAGGGAATAATCCTTCCCATGCTGTGGTAATTAGCATTACTGAGGTTATATGGAAGTTTCTATGAGGGAACTTAATTAATTATGGTTGATTAATGAGTGTCCCCAGCTGAAGCTGGAGCCACAGATTTTGTCACCACATTTGGAACATGTTTGTGTCAGGTTCATACAGGGAGGTTTTATTCCTTGGGAATGGGCCCAGGGGAGGCTCCGGTCTGGGAGCTGCCAGTGGGTGCTGGAGTGGTGACAGGGTTTGCTCCAGCTGGGAGACCCCTGGAAATGTCTGGCAGATCTTTCTCCTATTCCTCTCTCTGGAGACCTTTACGTGTAGCTAAGGAGGGGAACTTGAAGTGAAAACTGGGAAAAGGAGGAGGCACTGCACAGATGGGGATATGAGGGCTCAGACCACCCTGAGAATCCAGCATGAGGGATGCACTGGGATCACTGCTGCTCCCCAGCTGGCCTTGGCTTCAGTCTCCTGCAGCCAGGATGGGAGGTGGGATGGGGGAGCTGGTGCCTGGGTACTGCTCCTGTGGTCCCCTCCTGCCCCATGCCGGGGGCGGTGTTGGAGGTTGGGCTGAAAAGGAGTTATTTTTAAACATCACATCTCAGCGCAGACTGTCATTCCCATTCTCCATTCCTTCCTGGTGGGTGGGAGAGCTGGGGGGCTCCAGCAGCTCGACACAGCCTCATACCCAGAAGGTCTTGGCTGCCTGGGTCTCCTTTCCTTGTGGAGAGGGATTTGGGAGGGCTTAGCTACCACGGGCTTGGATGTCACAGGCTCCCCAGGGCTTGGATGAGGCAGAGGGGGCTATGCTGTGCTTGCTGGTTTGGGGTCTTGCCCATCCCTGTAGCCTTTAACCACACTGCAGTCTTTGCTGGCTGATTCAGCAGCAAATTGTAAAACTAGTTTATTTCCAAAATCAGGAGAGCATCTTTAAAGTCACAGTACTTGAGGCAAAGGAAAGCGGAGGTGTTTTCTGTTTGTTGGGCATTTCTTGGGTGCTCATTGCAGCGGGGGCTGCTCCTGTGCCAGCTCCCAGGGTGATGCCCTGCACAGGACCCAGAGGATGGGATCCTGGCTGCAGAATGGGATCATGTTCCGTGGTTGGGCAGCGCAGCCTGGGATGGGACATGGCAGCAACAGGAACACTCTTCCTAGGGAGATGCTGGATTTTAATTCCCTTCAGCCTGGTGGGCGCTGTCCTGCAGTGAAGCCCTTTCCAGGTGTGAGCCAAGGAAAATGAAAAGCTCCTGGAAGGATAACTGGCAAGAGGGATAAACCTGCGAGGGGAAGGCCTTCAGAGCTGCCTGCACTTGGCCCTTTCCATATGGCACTTCTGCATCTCCAGCCATCACTGAGCTGGGTGGCACCTCCTGCAGCACAGGACTGGAGTGGCACCTCCAGACACAGGTACAGCCCCTCATCCCAAGGGAGATTTGGAGGCCAGTTCTGCTTTTTGATAGCCTTTGATGCTGCAAATTCAAGCTGACAGTGTGCTCATGGCAGGGGCAGAGCATCCCAGGGACACCCGGGGGATGTAAGGATCCACCTGCAGGAGGCATGCTCCCCAAATTCCGCTTTACCACTGCCCAGCTCCGCTGCTGTCAGCTGCACTGGGATCTGGTGTCAGATTTTGAGAGCGTCAGTCTGCGAAGGCAGCAGGAGAGGATTGAGGTGGGAGTGTGGAGCCAGCAATGTGCCTTCGTGATGGGGGGATTAGAGAGATATTTGGGTTTATTTTAGTGTCAGGCTTATTGCGGGGATTGGGAGCTTAACCTGGCAGCAGAGCAGCGCTCATGCCGCTCCAGAACGACGTTTACAGTTCCCTATTGTCATTCCTTAGTGTCATTCATTCCCATCGGGAATCGCAACCTCCGGGCTGCTCCTGGTGAGCCACAAATGCCTCCGGGCTGGACGGAGGTGGCCAGGGATGCCAAGGCTGGCCCGGCAGCACCCCCAGGAGCCCCGTTCCTGTGCTCCGAGCTGTGCCTGAAGCCGCTGCTCCAGTCTGGGATTATTCCACTCGCGGGAGTGTCGGCGGCTGCGGGGCGAACGAGGGAATGGAAGCGCTGGGTTTTGTATTTTTTTTTTAGTTTCTTTTTTCTGAAAGGGTTATATAACCTTGGGAATTCTATTAATAAAAATAATGGTTTTGAACTCTGGGAACAACCAGCCCCAGCAATGAGCAAGGAAACGCTCCAAGTTCAGAACACAGCAGTGGGGAGGAATAGTAGCCCGGGATACAGAGAGGATTCCCTGCCTGCAGCCAGGTTTGTGGCATCTGCCTGTCCCTCCTGCCAGCACCTCCATCCCTGTGCCCAGGGAAGAGGAGAGAAGGTGGGAGGGGATTGTTTCAGCCCCAGCGTGGTCTGCACCCTGTGGATGTGGTGTGGGTGGGTGCCTCTCATCCTCCTGCAGCCATTCCCGAGCAGCCTGAGATGAACCCCAGGCTGTATCCAGTGCAAAAGTGTGGCAAGAGCAGCCAGGTGAACATCACCTGGACCCAAAGCATTGCCCTGGATGGGATCCAGAGGATGCACGTGTTCCTCACAAGCAGGATTTGGAAGGTGCTCGTGGTTCTCACAGGCAGCATCCCAGCAAAGCTTGTTGTCCCCATGGAATGCTCTTTGTTCCCACGGGTGGGACACCAGGGATGCTTCTGGTCCCTGTGGACGCTGATTCCACAGGGTGGGTCAGAGAGGTTAGAGGAACTGGGGTTAAAGAGACATGGCTGAGGCTCCAGAGCAAAACAGAGGGTGCTGGTGTGTGTGCAGCGTGAGTTTAGGGTCATGAGCTGAGGTCATGTTCCCCCCAGTCAGTCTCCAAAAGCTTTTCTCTTGCAATCTAGGGGGTCATTCTCTTTTTAATCCCTAAGGAGCTGGCAAGCTATTTAAAGGGTTTTCTATAAAAATTAAGAGAGTTTGAAGCTAAGATGGCAATTAGAGAAAACTGAGACATAACCCAAATCAGGGCATTTGGAGGCAAAAATCCCACAGTCTTTGGGATGTGTTCAAGTGTCCAATTGTTTCCCTTTAATTCCAAAATATTCAAAACCTCATTTTTCAGGATGAACATTACTTTGGGTTTATTGTGTTTCCCCCTTTGCCGTGTGGGATCATCAACTTATTTTTCAGAAAGCCTTAACACCCCACTCAGCAGTGGCCTGGGGTTTGGTCTGGTTTGTTTGGGACTTTATTTTTTTTTTCCTTTGAATCTCCCTTACTTGAGTTGTCATAGCCAGACAGCCTTGTGCCAGGAACAAGCTGTCATCCTGGAACTCATATATTTAATTCCTTCCCTCTGATACTAAAAACACCTTAAGATGATTAACTGGGGAAAAAAAAATGTAGCATTTTTCTGCTGTTTGGATGCTGGTCACTGGCTCTGAGCACTTCATTCATCTTGGGGAGTAAAACTGGAGTGGTCACCCCTCTCCTCCTGCAGGGCTCTCCTTGGGTTTAGTTTCTGGATTTGATTTGCTGAATATCCATGACTCTGTGTTGTCCAAATGCTTTTCTTGACAGTTTAAGATGCAGTGGGGGTGACAAGCCCCCTCCCACAGCATCCCTTGGCTGGGAGGCCACCCTGCAGCTCTCCCTGCTCACATCCCCTTTGGGATGTTCCTTTGGGAACAGCCTGGGCAGAATTCCCGTGCTGGCAGTGCCAGGACAGTGTCTCTGTGTGGAGACACAGGAGAGTGCACAGACACCCCGTCCTGCCCTAAGCTCACTGCCAGCCATGGCTGGGCACGCAGCACCGCGCTGTGAGGACGTGGTTTCCTATCAGCATTAGCTTATTTCTATTTTTTTAAAGATGTTTTTGGTCTGGGACTTGTTCAAGGCCTGTTTTAGCTTCCCAGGGTTCCACTTACCCAGGCACAATGGTGCCAGCCCAGCTGATGCTTCCTGCCAGGCTGCTTACCCTCTGTGTTGGGCAGCAGCTTCCACACCTTTTTGCTCATCTAGGAAATAAAGTTCTGGATAAAATGACACAGCATGCAGTGTAAATCCCTGTAAATCCCTAGATGTGGAGTTTTATGTTGGTGTGTGTGTGGGTAGCATCCTAGGGTTGCGCTGAGCTGGTCAGAGGAAATAGGAGACAGTAGAAAATTGGGAAAAACACCTCTTTTAGCTTAAATTCTCCATGGATTAGTGGGTCCTGCTGTCTGATATCAGAGTGGCTTGATGTTGGTTTAGGATTTTAGGTCCTGCTTGGATCATCACTCACAGGGCTCTGGTAGGTGCGGCTGTGTCAGACATTTCATTTGGGTTTCCAGGTGCCTCAGTTTCCCCAGCAGATGAATAAATCACCCCTTCCTTCATTGCTGTTTGGCAGGCTGGGGACAGCACCTTCTGCAGGTGTCACAGGACTGGGGTGACCCAGGACAGGTCCCTTAGGCCCCGATGCCAGTGGTGGCTCTGTGCTGGCTGTGGCACAGCAGGGTCCCAGCTCTCCTGGCTTCCTGCACAGCTCAGGGGTTTAGTGGGATGAGCCTGGGGGCTTTGGGAGTGTGCTTGGAACGGACTCCTCAGCCCTTCACTCCTGAGTGGGGAGAGAGAAGTGACTTGAAGAAAGAGGGGAGCAATGGGGCAGAGGAAAGCTGCTGGTCCCTGCCTGATGTAAGCTGTGTGCTCCTGGCATCCCCGTGCTCCCAATGTCCCTGTGGTGCCCGTGCTGCAGCATCCTGGGCACAAGGAACCCCCAGTGCTGCCTGCTCACCTTCCTCTCCTCCCCTCGTGCAGGAATTGCGGCTGAGCCGGAGACGATGACTGCGGAGAGCACGGAATCGAACGGGCCCATGCGGGAACTGGAGCAGGGGGGAGCCAAGGTGCCGCCGCCCCCCGTCCCCCCGCGGCACCGGGGCCGCCGCCTGCGCCGCAAGCCCCCGACGGAGCCCCCTCTGAAGGGGCAGCTGCGCATGCGCTCGCCAGCGGGAGCCTTCGTCATGGTGGGCATCTTGGTGGTCCTGGTGGGCATGACCGTTGCCGTGGTGGGCTACTGGCCTCACCGGGGACCTGGGGGCACCGGGGCCACTGCAGGGAACACCAGTGCGGCGGGGGACATGAGGAGGGAAGTAGCGGCCGGACGCCACGTGCCCCACAGCGAGAAGCTGAAGCTGATCGGCCCCGTCATCATGGGCATTGGGCTCTTCATCTTCATCTGTGCCAACACGATGCTGTACGAGAACAGGGACATGGAGACCCGGCGGCTGATCCAGAAGGGGCTCTACGGCATGGCAGTGGGGCTGCCCGAGGGGACCGGCCCCAAGGACGGGCACTGCCAGCATGGGGACAGCCAGCCCTTCCCCAAGGCCAACGCTGAGTGTGTGGAGGGCTGTTACCAGGTGGACCTGTCCTGTCAGCCTGGCCCCGGCAGCAAGTGGTCTGACTGCTACGGCCCTAACCGGCTGCAGACCGTGGCCGAGTTCCTGCAGCACCCAGCAGCTTCCCCCGCGGCCTCTCTGCACAGCCTCCGCTCCACCGAGGTCAACCTGAGCCTCCCGTGCCGCGCTGGAGCCGAGTCCCTCCTGTCCTCGGCCGTGGGGGCCTTGGCACTGCCCATCATCAAGCTCAACAACTGCTTGCTGGATGGAGCAACGCGGGGTGCCGGAGGGAGGGCAGAGAGGGGCCTTGCTGAGCATCCCCCCAAAGTACCACAGCTCTCCCCGGCTCTGCTTTCCATCGGCGCCAGCAGCGCGGCCTGTGGCCAGGGTGGCGGTGGTGCTGATGGCCACGTTGTTATCAGCATGGACCATGACAGCAGTCCCGGTGCAGAGCCGCTGGTGGAGCTCGGCCCCAACGTGCACCTCCACACCCCGGGACACTCCAAATCCCTGGACCTTGGCCAGCCAGGAGTGCTTCTGGTGGCCCCCATCAAGGATCGTAAGAACCGGAGCTGGCCCCGACTGGACCACGTCAGCCTTGTGGGCTACGCCAAACTGGAAAGTACCGGCGAGTCCTCGGACCGGCTGCTGGAGCCCAGCGAGCCCCCAAGCCGGGGCGAGCCCCAGCCCAGCTCCTGGGTGGTGGGGATGGAGCATGGCACACGGGTCTGATGTCCCTTTGGGGACTGTAACGTCCCAGCCTGTTATCCTGGCCCCCAGTGCCCACCAGCCACCCCAAAACCCCACATCAGGAGGGGTTTGGGGGCACCATTTTTAAGCCAATGCCAAGAGGAAGGTCGTGACCCTCCGCTCCCGGGGGAGGACTCGCCTAGGGGTGGGATGTCCTTCCCAGTGGATGCCCTTGGCCTTACAAGCCCTTCTCCTGGTGGCTTTTCCAGAGGAGTCCTCGCTTTGAGACCCCACACAAATCGTGGGATGGGGACATGCAGGCAGGTGAAGCCCCACCAGTCCCCACAGCACTTTATTTCAGCAGGGTTGGGGTGGGGAGATGCTTTGGGGGGTGGTGTCCCCTCGTCCAGCCTCAACCCACCAGAAAATTTGCTTGGCCAGAGCACGTAGGCCCAACAGGGCTATTAAATATTATCTGGATGCCATCTGGTCCTGCCTTGACTCCTCCTAATGCCTGTGGGATGCTTGGGAGGGGCAGCACTTGTGGCACTCACATCAGGTTCTGAGGCTCCTTGGTAATTTTGGGTTTACAGGACACTGAGGTTTTGTAGTTGGAAGCAAACTGTCCAGGGTCAGGGTAGAAGAGGTGATGGCTGTGTCTGCAGCAATGCTAATTCAGAGCTTTTAGCATAACATGCCACGTGCCACCCTTCTCTTTCTGCCTGTGAGGGAAACTGAGGCACAGGCAGGTACCACAGCCGGCCCCTGGGCTGCCCCTGCCCCCAGGAAAGCTCTTCCCAGCCACTTTCCAGTCTCCCTTACTGGAGGGTCATCTGGCTCTTGTTTCTGTCAGGCCTGCAGCCAAGATGCCCTGTCAGCTTTTCGTGCCTTATTTCTGTCCCTCCTGAAGCTGCTGCAGCCAGAAAAAAATGAGACAGGACCAAAATACCGATGGATTTGTCATTTCCCCCCACTCCAGTTGAGTCACACTCACTTAGGGCTGGGCAGCAGCTGCTGAGCACAGAGCTCACCTGGGCTCACCACAAATTCCACAGCTCTAAGGAAGGTTTTATATCAAGTGATGCTTCTTTGGGGCAAATTTGAACTCTGGGAATTGCTTCTGGCCCTTTTGGGGGCCGGGGTCCCGCATGTGACCACAATGGGAATTGTGTAAAAGTTCTGAAGGGACCAAGAGCCCAGAGAAATGCTGGCCCAAGACTGGGAGAGCTTTGGCAGCCACATTTGGGGGCTTGGGTCTAGGCTGGTGAAACCAAGTCATCACAACACCAGGGTAAGGAGAGAGACCTGGAGGAAGGTAAGAAGGAGGAACAGAATTCAGCACCAGGGAGAGTTTTGTTCGAAAATTTATTGAAAAATGCAATACAAGAAGCAATACTGAACACTTAGGTCTGCCTAAATGCTATGGCAACTTTCCCTTTGATTCGCTATGAAAATCCAAAGTAACAGCTCCCATCACTAGTTGATCTAGAAAGTTTTGCCAACTTTAAAAGTTCCTATTTTTATAAAGAGTGTAAATACCTAACCTAGACAATTCACAATTGCCTTAAAAAAATTTACAAAGCTCCTTCATTTTCTCAACTAATTTTTTTTTTTGTATTTTTTTACAAGTTCCATCTCTAAGGCTGGGACATTACTACTTCTTAAGGTAATTGTACAATTAGGAAAATCAGCAAACCACAGTTTATTAAAACCAGAAATCAGTCAGTACTTTGCTAACACATCTCTGTTGGTCAGGGATTGCTATTGGGCAACTGGAGCTGCTGATCCAGTTTAATGGAGGAGAACAGGAGCTCCTTGCTTTCCTTTCTATAAAAACATTCATTCATATATAAATAGCTTCCATATAATGTATATTATACAATCAAGACAGTCTCTGGGTGAATTTGTGGAGTGGGAAGAGCTGGGAACATTCATATAAATAGACCTTACTTAGCTGGTTTGTCCCTAGAGCTGACACAGCACACTCAGAGCCAAGGATTTTAAATCCCAACAGAGGTGGGAGTGGGCAGCCCCACCATGGCCTTGGCTGAGGGTGAGAGAAGCTTCTTCTGCTTTTTTTACTTGTATCTTCTTCCCAGGCTCCTGTCCAGCTCCTGGGCTCGGGCACCGCGTTGGCCGGAGCGGGGCTGGGAACCCCTGAGGTCAGACAGCAGGTGATGGCAAAGGGCACAAGAGGCCATGACTTCTTTGAATTTCTCCAGGAGAAGCAAGAACTCAACAGGGGGAAGTGTGAAGATGGACAGCCTGCCACAATCAGCCACCCAAAATCCAGGGAAAAAGTAAAAATAGGGTTATTCTAGTCTATGGGCCCTTAAACAAGGGACATCTGCAGCCACAGTGAGCACATCCTTTTGGAAAGGAACCACCTCTCCTGCCAGGGGTGAGAAATCCCCTGCTTGGGGGATTCTGTCCCACTCATCGTGCCCAAGGGAACACCCAGGGACCACATTCCCCTGAATTCTCTGACAGCCAAGTGCCTTTAAGTGCTATAGACAAACTTAATTTATCACATTGGCTCTGCCTGGTGAAGCCCAGAAATCCTCTCAGCCACTGCTCCACGTGCCCCTTCACTCCTCAGGTGGCTGCTGCATGTGAGAAGGAAGGACTGAGTGGCAAAAATTCAATTCCCAGAAAAAGGGCAGTGCCAGAGGGTGCCCAGCATGATGAGTGTTTAAGGCAAGCAATACCTGACTAAGTTGAGGACAGCAGAAACACAGACCCCTTCCAGGGCCCGTGTGGCAGAATAAGGAAGGAAAGGGCTTTTCAGATATGGATAGGAAGACAATCTCTGCACTACAGCCCAGGACTCCCTAAACTCCCAGAGCACGATGCCCTGAGGAAGGCAGAGCATCCCGGGAGGGGGCCCTGCACCAGAGGAGTTGCCAGCACGGCAAGGCTGGAAGCTGAGCAGGACCCAGGGCCAGCAAGGCTCAAAGAGAGCCAAAACCCAGCAGCTCCAGCAGTCTCCAATCAATGCTGACAGCTTAATTAAAAATTGCACCTGAAGTTGAGAAGCTGCACCAGCCCCAGTGTAGCTCCAGAGCTGTTTGCAGTTAAACAGTGGAGTCCTTGCAGCCTGAGCTAAATCCACAGCTTCTGAAACACATTATTCAAATTTAAAACTGGAGAGCTTTTCTCTTTATTGCCATTTTCTTCCCATCCTGAGGAGCAGAGCACTCCCTGCCCTCAGCTACCACTGTACCACACTATATATATATATATATATATATATGTATATATATGTGTGTGTGTGTGTGTATAGTTATATATACAGAGAAAAATCAAATCACAACCTCTAGTGGACTAAAGTGTTCACAAGTGTCTGGGCAGACTCTTTACAGAGCTTGGTTGGTTTTTTGCTTCTTGAATCCTGAATTTAAATAGTGGAAGGACAAACCAGGGAAGAACATTCCCATGAAGCTGAGAGAGCAGCAGTGGGAGCACACTCAGCCCCTGAAATCATGTTTTTACATCACCCCCTCTGTGCTGGAGATGGCCCTGGGGGTCTGTAAGATCAGCCTCAAGATTCAGACAATCACCCTGATATTTCATTCCAGCAAGGGGGTCATGAAGCCAAACCCAGACCCTCAGGCCAGCGTGGAAGACAGAATGCCAACACTTCCCATGTGGTTTGGCTGTATCACAACCAGCAACACCTGATACCTCCTGAAATTCCTTGTTCAGTCTCTCCAAATACAGCTTGCAGGCCTAGGAAGGATTGTCTAAAGGAGTTTAAATTAAATGGTAGTAGGATACACGCTCTGGGAAATGGGTAACGTGTTCAGCTTTAAATAGCACTGTGAGGGGAGGAAAAAAAACCAACCCATGACTTACCAAAAAAAAACCCTCCCTAATTTAAAAATCATGAACACAAACAAGTGAAAAACTACGACAATGACAAGCTCAGTTCCTGTGAATGCTGCACAAGGCTACCTTAATAGCATCCAGAGTCCAAACACCTTAAACACACACTTCTAAGGGCGTTTTAATTTAATGGTATCTAGAAAACACAAACAGGTGGGGAGCACTCAGCAGAGACACACGGGAAGAAGGCGAGATGCTATCACAGTCCTCTTAAAGCTCTAAAATTCACAGTATAAGATACTTGAAGCAACTTCCAGTATTCCTTAAATCTAGTCAACTATTCCGATGTTTGCATAGGCTACACCACAAAACCCTACTGTGATCACACATCAGGGCTGGAAACCAGTGGGGAGGGAGCTCAGAGCAGCCCAGGGGTTGCAGTGGGGCTGGAGCTCCCCAGAGCTACAAAAATAATCCAGAGGCAATCGGAAATGCTGCACAAAGTCTGACTCTTTAAACTGACTCTCCTGGAAGAAGGACACACGGCTCTGTGAAGGCGCATACGGATCCTGCACTGGGAATGTGCACGGATGCAGCTCTGGTATCCCTGACGAGGCAGAGGGAGTACAAGTTAAAACAGGGAGCCCTGGAGCTCTGCGAGGTGGGATTCTGTGTCTGAAGAGGCTTTGTGTGAGAGGGAATGCAAAACTGAAAACCTGTAAAAAATGTTCAGTACAGTTAGAAATATGGCATATTTCTGTCACAATAGATATTTTTAAAAAAACAAAACAACAAAACAAAACCCTATATCCAATAGGATCCAGTGGAGTCTGGAAAAATCCCAAGTAAAACGTCAAAAGCGCAACTCTTAATATATGATATGAATGTCTCTGAGTGTCAAGTCTGGAATCCGAGGTCTTTGTGCTCCAGGTAGTTTCATGGTAGTTTTGCTGGGTTTCTTTTTCCTGGGGTTGTTGTGGGCAGGAATGTTTCCTAACAAGAGAGGAAGAGGAGAAGTTACAGCTACCAACAGCAGCGTGCTGGAAGAGGCAGGAACCTCAATCTCCCTGAAGTGGATGGGAACTGAATTCAGGTGAGTTATCACCAATGGCAAGTGAGAAGTGTCTGAAGGAGCTCCAGAGGGACTCTGCACAAGGGCCTGGAGCAAAGGGACAAAGATGCCAGAGGGCAGGGTTAAGATGGGATATTGGGAAGGAATTGTTCCCTGTAAGGGTGGTGAGGTCCTGGCACAGGGTGCTCGGAGAAGCTGTGGCTGCCCCTGGATCCCTGGAAGTGCCCAAGGCCAGGCTGGACAGGGCTTGGAGCAACCTGGGACAGTGGGAGGTGTCCCTGCCATGGCAGGGGTGGAATGGGATGAGCTTTACGGTCCCATCCAACCCAAACCATTCCAGGATTCTGTGATCAGTGGCATGGGGTAGGATGGGCCTTAAAGCACTGAGGCACAGCCAGAGCTCCTGGATTCCTTTAGCAGCTCCTTCCCAAACTGACAAAAAATGCAGAAAACAGGATTTCCAGGCAAGTCTGGTGTCCAGCTCGGGGGTTACTGTGCACTGATGTGGGCAGGTGATGTGGCACCTACAGCTGCTCCATGTGCTCCCAGCACATCACAGATGTTTGGGAAGACAAAGTAGCCTCAGGGCAGGAGCTGTGTAGCTTTTAACCCATTTGGGCTCATTTCCACAGGATTAGCCTGTGTGTGACTGCCTGCCTCATCAGCCTCCATGGATCTAACAGGAACAGCCTGAGCAGGACTCGGCAGAGAACAATGATCATTTTACTTCCACTGGCCCTATTTACCCAAATCTCCTGTGCACAGAGATCAATCACCCCCTGCCCCCACCCGAGGTGGTCTCTCTACTCACACAGCCCAGCTACTCCTCTGCAATCTCTGTCTCCTGGTGCACAACCACTTTGGTCACCGACATGTCTGGGTGCTGCTCCTTGGCAGCCTTGATCGCCTGCGCCAGGACCTGCAGGACAGCAGGGCAGAGCACGGTTAGAGCGTGTCAGAGCACGGCACCCACCATCCCCAAGGGCACCACAACCTTCCAACTCCAGGGGGTAAAAAAGAGAAGTGGATGCACTTGATAGAATTACAGAAGATGCCAAGTTGGAAGGGACACACAGGG